CTTTGGCAAACTAACCCCTAAGTATGGGACAATGAAATTTAGCTTGTATTTTCCATCATGAACTAAAAAGTGAATTAATTCCACCAACATTCCTTGGGAACCCAGTAGGTACCAGCACTGGGTAAGACCTTGATGTGTTAAAATCAATTTTCTGGGCTTTTTGGTATACAGATAATTCAGAAACATATGTGGATTGACAGTAGTTTCCTTTGACCAGTGAGCCAATTCTTGACTATGGCAATAGAAGTGGGTGAGTGAAAACAGCACATATGAAAGATATACTTATTTATACTTCCTCTGTCCATTGGACATTTTCACATATTCTCCTTTTACTTCCACTGTAAGCCCATGGCCAGTGTCACCATCACATTGTAAAATGGTCAACACTCAGTTCGACCTCTCTTTTAACCTATCAACGAGAGAACACAGCCATAAAATTGGGTTAACAAAAATAAACAAACAAATAGTTGAAAGAGAAGGGGCTGAATGAACCACAGATTAAATATTAAGTATTTAAATATTTGAGAGCAGACCATATTTTTAGAACTAGATCTTTTTGGTGGAATTTCATAACATACAGTAATTTTATGTCAGAGTTTCTTAGTGTATATCATTGCCAGAAAAAGCCTGGTAAGAAAAGACTGGTTTATAGTAAACGTACTTTGTAAGTTCCTAAATGCCTTGGTAACCAATATAAAACAATGTGGTGTTCACATGCCAAAGAGAGTGTATTTCACTTACATTACTTCAGAAGAGAAATTTTTCCTATCATTTAAATTATAGTGAGCATATTACACAGTAAGGAATAATTAATTATATCCATATATTCAATTTGTTCCAGATTCTAGATGTCCTTCATATTTTTTGCTCATATGTATTTTATTTGACCCTCTTCAGGCCTTGAAACAGTAAGAGACTTGAATAACAAACTCATAAAATGCAAGAGCCTTTGAAAAATAATTCCTTAACTCTTCAACTAAGTGGCTGGAATGTTAATTTGACTTTTCAGGTTATTACCTTGTGTTATCATTTACAATGTTAACACACTTGGAATTTGGAAATGCTTTAGGGAAAAATACACACCTAATAAACATAGAAAATATCTGAGTACAGGAAAAAAAGTGATTTTATTTTTAAAAATAATAATTTCTTAACAGCTTTAAGCTATTGATAACTCATTAGCTGATGACTTCAAATGAATGATTAATTCACTACCCCTTAGGGTGACTGACTCAAATGAACTAGATAATAAGCACTGTTAATGCCTACTAAAATGTATTTTAAAATCCACTAAGAATATTTTCTCACTGCCTCAGTGATTAAAAATTATAAGCTTGGTTTTATTCCAAAATTAAGTATAAATGGAACGCCTTTTGCTATGCATGTGTTTTTAATAAGTAGGAAAAACATATGGCATTCTCTCCTCCTCTCTTATCTCCCAAATACCACACTCCTTCCTTCCTTCCCCCTTGCCTTTTTGCCTTCCTTCCTGTACATGTGGTTTATTGAATATGGATGCAAATGTCTTATTTTAGTTCCGTACATCTTGCTGAAAGACAACATAATGGTTTGGAAGGGCTTAATGGCACAATTTTCATAGCAGTGTTAGCGAGTTAATACTTTAAAACATGAGAAATCAAAGTAAAATATGAAAAATTCCCATTCTAAGCTTGGTGCTGTCTCCAGTATCAGTCCCAAGTATAACCTTAACCCCAACCCAACAAGATGTGTGGGACATTTCAACACTATGTTTCCTTCCAGAAATTATAGATACTTCCCTCTTTACCGGTCAAAAGAAACCCCAAATCTAATCAACAGATTTTGTGCGTATGTGTTTTTTAAAACTTGGTTTCATTCTAACTGATGCAAATACTACTAGGAATCAACAGTCCTGAATTCAGGTCTTGACTGCTGACTTCAGTGCTGCACTGGGTGTCAGCCTTAATGACCTGTTTCTTCCAAATTCCAGGTGTTTGTTTCTATTAGCAAAGTATTCCATCTTTTGTACTATACTGTGGGCTTGTCCACATTACACACAGTTGAGCTGAACATATAACTCTATACTTAATTTGTAGAGTACACATGCTCCTGGGACAGAACACATACTATTTGGTAATGAGAAAGAACTAAAAAGTTATTGTAAGTCTCACACTTTTAAACTGTGAATTAATAAGGGAGAAGACCAAAGAAAGAGTGATATTTTTCCTCTGTTATTTTGTGATAAAACAACTGATGGACCAACCAGGAATAAAGGATTGCAACAAGAAGAGAATAGCCCAAGCTGAAGATTCTGCCCAGTTCACTGAAAATTGCCTTGATGTGAGAACAACAAGATACTATTTTTTTTTTTTTTTTTTCGAGGCAGAATCTTGTTCTGTCACCCAGGCTTCAGCACAGTGGCACAATCTCGATTCACTGCACCCTCCACCTCCTGAGTTCAAGCAAGCATATCCAGCTAATTTTTGTATTTTTAGTAAAGACGGGATTACACCATGTTGGCCAGGCTTGTCTTGAACTCCTGACCTCAAGTGATCTGCCCGCCTGGGATCCTAAAGTGCTGGGATTACAGGTGTGAGCCACCCTGCCTGGCTGAGGTTTCTTATATCCTCTTTATTACTTCCTTTTTCTTATACACTGACAGTAAGAGAGGAAATAAAAATGTAGTTTACCTAAAATGTATCTCAAGAACAGGAATTGATCTGCTGATATATGAGGGTTGAATTACTTCGTCACTTTAATGAGCCCTGCTCTTGGGCAGGCATTATTTTTAAATTATTATTCATTATGAAATGAGGTGTTCCCCCACCTCCAATTGCTATGTTGAACTAACCCCCAGTACTTAAGAATGTGACTGTATTTGGAGATAGGGCCTTTAATGAGGATATTAAGTTAAAATAAGGCTGTCATGATGGGCCCTAATGCAGTCTTCCTGGTATCCTAATAAGAACAGGAATTTGGAATACACAGTCACCAGGGATGTATGAAACCAAATGAGAGCACATTGGCGAGCCAAGGGGAGAAGCCTCAAGAGAAATCAAAGCCACCAACACCTTTTCCTAGACTTGCAGCCTCCAGAACTATAAGAACATACATTTCATTGCTTAAGCCACCCAGTTTGTGGCATTTGATTATACCAGCCCTAGAAAACTAACCTGCTATCTTAAGACGGCATCAACTATTAAGTAAAAGGCACTTCAGTGAAGTGGGCCTTTTTTTTATCTTATGCCATCATCCTGGAAAAAACAGCATATAGAGAGAAATCAATGGGTTACGTCAGTGTGAAAACACCTCACAAAGGACTTTAATCATCAAATAGAAGATTAAAGAAAAGGCCTTCAATAATCCAATAACAATGTTATACACACTGAAAGCTTGATATAAGGTCTAACATAGGATTACATATAGGGTCAAGGAAGGGTGACAGAGCAATTTGTCAAAAGTAAGAGACAGGATAACTGAGTACCACTTCACAGTTCCTACTTAGAGAAGAAGTGATGAAGATCTCTGAACAACCTGAACACCGCAGTAGGCAGATGCATGTCAGTGGTGAGCCAGCACTCTAATATTTAAAATGTTATAGGAAAATTATTGATAGACTACTGGATCTTTTTCTTTTTTATACATTTTACTTATTTTAGTTATCTGTGGCAAATATAAAGGCTGACTGCTAAACAAGGAACTCAAAATTTAGTAAATTGTTAAGAGCTACTATAGTATCCATTTTGATACACACTTGTGTTAAACAATGTTTTTTGTTTTATATTGCCATTGCTTCTTTGAAGATTATACAGATGGAAACATGTATGTAAGCCCGAAAGCTTTACAAGTGATGGATGCCGGGTCTTCTGGCTCCAAAATTCACACGTTCCGCCGCTCTGCTCTCTTGAAGGTCCTGCCCTCATACTTTGAGAAGCAACCTGCTACAGTGAGACTGGGACAGGCCGTGGATCTCCATCTGAGAGCATCAAGAACGCTGGACCTTTAGAGTTAGAAAGAACTTTATAGTTCTTACTCATCTCACTTCACAGGTGAGGAATTCAAAGCTTGACATTAAAAAAGTAATTGAAATTGAGGGATTAAGTGATTGGCTCAAGGCTACATAGCCAGGGTGGCAATGGCACTGAGGGTGTATTGCACCCTTCTCACCTACTCTAGACTAAGAACCTTTACTCACCTCTCCACATCCCCATGTTACAGGTTACTTTGTGTCTCCCTAAAATTCATATGTTGAAGTCCCAACTCCCTGCCCCTCAGAATAACCATATTTGGAGATTTAAAGAGGTAATTAAGATTGAACAAGGTATCTAGAGTGCAGTTCTAATCTATTATGGCTGGTGTATTTTCTAAATAATTTTTAATATTCATAAAAGCCTAATGAAAAGGCACAAAATATGGTCTAACTAGAATTCCAGGTTTCATTGCTTTTAGGTAGAATTATACCAATGTGGTGACATCAGCTATCTCATATGCATCTGAAACTTTAATTAGTAATATACATCTTGATTAATTTAAAATGAGAAAATTATGTATCATTTAACAAAGTTGATTTGCTTGATAAATAAAAAACTCGGGCGTTTTGATGAAGAGAAGATTGAGCAGGAACCACTACTTTAAACCTCCAATTCCTTTATTTGGCTCATCTAAGACCCATGATGTTTAATCCTCTTCAAATTTCTAGAGCTCTTTCAGGGATGAACTGAACAAATTATATGGCTTCAGTCATCTGTCACATCAGGGATGTTGAGAGACACTGTTTTCAAATCTCTGTGCTACTGAGAAATACAGCTTGCTGGATGCTGTATTTGGTTTTTTTCCTTAGGAAAAAATGAAACTTTAAGTGAAAACAATCCCAAGATAACATTTAAAAACAGTCTAAATAGGTGGATAGACTTAGCTCTTTAACTTAATAGAAGCAAAACATAAAAGCTGAGATACTCAGTACATGTAATAGGTATCAAGTGCCCGCAGTAGAATATATCTGAAAGTGTAAAAAGCAGTACTTTAAGCAGAAATGTACATTTTATTTAAAAAGCAGTAGCAAAGGTGTGAAGAACACAAACTTCTATTAACAGAAGTTTATTAAATGCTTTATCATAAAATATTGAGTCCACTCTATTACAATACACAGGCTTAATGTTCTAACAAGCAAAACTGTGTCTCAGTTGAGGGAAACTTGTGATGCAAACGCGAGGTGGAATTTTGGGAAGCAACGCAAATGGATCCTCCTGCTCTTCCGTAACCGCAACACTGATGTTCAGAAATGCTTAGGTATTGGGAGAAACCTGTAGAATTTCCTGAGTATTCTATTTAACAGTTCTTACAATTATTTTACCTTAAAGGAAAACATGAAAATTTTCTGATGGAAACATCCATTTTAATATTTATTATCTTCAGTAACTAAGAAACACAATCCTAAAAATGTATTATACCATAAGAAAGTCTTTGGAGTTATCATAAGGCTTTCCAGCACAAGGTAAAACTTCAAGGCAATTTATCAAGAACTAAATGTTTTTGAATTACCAAGCTAGTGGCATGTGAAGATGAAAAGAAATGTCAAGGTTAGCTGATTGTTTTCCAAATCCCAGGATCTAAAACATATTGGGGGAAAATAGGATGTGGGAATGAGGGGCTATTGGAAGTAACAGATGGCTAGAAAAAGGTACTGAGACTAGTTAGCATTAACTAGCATGTAATGTATCTTCATTCATTAGTCAACATTGCCTTCATGTGTATAATTATTTCAGGATAGTATTTCTACAAAGTATATTTGTTTTATCAAGTCAGCTTGTGAATTTTGATTCTAAATACCTAAAGTTATAGCTACTATAATTGCATTTTGATATTTGTCCGTAAGTATATCTGGCATTGTCAGCGATGGCTCTTGAATATATTGTTTCTTGATATAACATCACTGAAAACAGAACTGATGTTGAAAAAAATACTACCTAACTAAAACTCAGGATTCACAATGAACTTAACCAATTCACATCATTGAGCTCACACTAAAACTAGATCTCTTTCATTTTAAATAACCAAATCCTACAAAGAACAATTATTCAGAAAATCACATCCTAAAGTTTGCACTCATAGTCATCCATAATACATATTGGGATTGAATTTGTCCTCCCGGTCCATACTTTGGTACCCTATGCTTTCCATATTGGACATTTCATTTTATAAATAGGGCAATCAAAGAACTTAGAAAATAAGTTTTAATTTGGATGCAAGTATTTTGCATTCATATTACTAAAAGAGATCATGCTTTCAAAGGAAGAGAAAATAAAATCATATGTGATAATATAGAGTACTGCAGTCACAAGTAACCCAAACATACAACCATCTTCATTACAGAACTAAGCAGCCAATTCTAATACACTACAAACCATTTGATTTAAAAAAAGGCTTACAGCCAATGCTCTAAGAAGGAAACACCAGTGAAAATAGTTTTTAAATATATACCCTTGTAAAATGATATATTCTTTTAACACTAAAATCTTGTTTCAGAAGTTCCCCGCTTTAGGTTGTTACTCAAAAACTCATCATGTTCAAAACTCAAATTATTGTGAGATCTTGAAATCATAAGAAGCTTCTCCTTATTGGTAAAGTCTTTTTTGATGGCAACTTGGGGCACAAGCAACCTATCCATTGGGTCCTCTTTGTTCTCTAGTTTCATATACCCCTTGCTGTTGTTCCGATCCAACCTAGGCCAACTTGGATGTTTCCGTTGTTCTGCCTGAACAGTTAGAGTGGAGGGACCCCGGTCTAAGTCTAAGGACTTTGAGTGTGATGACAGCAAATGCAAGGATGTATTGGACCCAAACTGTCTTCTAGCAGCCCCAGGAGACAAGAGCTGTCCAGGCCCAGACCCGAGAGCCATAGATGACTTGTACTGACTCGACAATGACTCCCCGATGGAATTATTCCTTGGTAGCACTGTGCTGACAGGCTGGAAGGAATCACTGGTGTTGGGCAAAGGAACCACAAGGGAATCCATTGACAAATTCCTTGACCTGCTTTTGAGGTTGTCAGCATCTTCAGTGATGTTATCTATACTGGGCTCATCAATAACACAGTTATTAAGTTTGATCACAGGCAATGTAAAAGCACTGATGGATGATGACACAATTGACTTAGTTTCGCATTTCTTAGAGTTGCTGGTCTTATCATCAGATGTCTTGGAAGGAGGTGGATAGAGGCCAAAGACAGAGACAGAGCTGTCAGAGAGCAAAGGGGGCATAAGATGCCCAGAACTCTTACTTTCATTTAACATAAGTTCATCCTCCTCCACGGAGCTGTCCATTCGAAAACTGTTCCGAAAACCCGAGAAAGAGGCGATCGTATTTGCTGCCAATCTGGAGGCACAGGAGCTCCCATTCTGTTTTACTTCTGTTTCTCCCATCAAGCCGGTGTACATGCCATTCATTTGCCTTTGCTCCTTGATTCTTAGCGTGTGAATGTCAATGACTGTGGAATAGATATCCCTCATGTGTATGATTTTGGTCTCTTTGTCACGGTTTTCATGAAGAATGGCATTAGCACAAATGAAAATGAAAATGCCAATCCCCATGGTGAATGGACCAAGCATTTTCATCTTATCAGAATGCAAATGCTGCTCGAAGAAGCGAACCACCACACCACCCTCATTCCGAATGACCTGAGTTTCATTTGTTGACAGTGTTGTTTCAGCATCAATAAAATGTTCTTTTTGGGGCCAATATCCAAGAACGGCCATGGCAATTCCTATAATGGAGATGAGCACTCCTAAAATAAGAAAAAATCCAGATGGGGAATAAAGCCGGATTTTACCACGAACAACCACGACATCTGCCCGGGGCCGGCGCCTGACAGGTTTCTTCTCTTGGGTAGCAGGAGATGGGCTGAGGTTGACATGCTGCTGTGATCTGGCGGAGTCTTGCCTTTTCAAGGCGGCCAGGCCGGTTATCACTCCACCAGTTGCTATCATAGCTTGGCCTGTTATTCTGGAAGAAAAAAAAAGGAAAAAGATGATCTAAATATGTTCTTGGGGTATCAGCATCAATTCAATTAAACAACTGTTTACATAGAACTTTTGTTGCTGCTACAGTTTCATGTGATTAAATGCGGTAGAATATCTTTAAAATTGACATAGTTTTGGTACAAAATTTATTGACTAATGTAAATTTCTTGATTTCTTTTTTCACTAAGTGAATATTTGTTTTTTTTTTAAGTTACATTTCTGTGGATAAAATGTGAGCTAGAGGAATATTTTGTTTAAATAATTTTATCACTTATAAAATAGTCACCTGGCCACAAGACTGATGCATTGTCTCTCTCTCTCTCTCTCTCACACACACACACACACACAGTTACTTGTGCTATTTTAAATCACTGAACAAACACTATAGACTGACAAAGAGGATACATTTCAGCAATTCATGGCTCTAAGACCTCTCTTGTGAAAGTCATCAATGAATTCTTAGCTACCACATTTAATTTCTCTCTCTCAATTTTCATCCTTACCTCTCTGCTTCCACAGATATTATCGGCCCCTCTTTCTCCACACTCTCTCTTCCCTAGTCTTTTATGATGTGAAGTTCTCCTATTTCTGCTCTGACTTCACTATTTCAATAGACTTACCTAAAAGTAGAACTTCTCCCTAGATTCTTGTCATTGGCCATCTTCTCTTCCATACTCTCCCCTGGCATTCATATCTGTTCCTACATCTTCCACTATTTCCATTATGCTAATGAGTCCCAAGTCCATATTCCAGGTCATATCCTGAGTTTCAATTTCACACTTTCCACTGCCCGTTAGGGAACATACACACATCATGTACTGCTAGCAAAGCAGAACTTACCTTTTAGCACACACCAGCTGCAGCACTTGACTTGTCTGACATTTTTAGAAGGGTTAGTTCTCAGGTTTGGCTCTTTACAGTTATCTTCCTCTTCCAAACAGTTTCTAAATCCCAGAAATTTCCACTACATGATGTTTTTAATTTCACTACCCACCCCATTCTAATCCTACTCTTCCCAGCCTTGTGCAGATCTTCTTACCTGTTACTAGACCATTATTATAACCCCCAACTGTTTGGTCTTCCAAACAAACAATTTCTCTTCCTTTACAATCAGGATTAATCATCTCTGAAGTTTGTTTAAAGAGCAGAATAATGACAAAATATTCTCCACTACCTATCAAAGCTTAAGCTGAAATTCTAGACCCAATGACTTTGTCTCTAACTTTTCTCTTTAATTTGCATAAAACTAAAATCTAAGCAATGATCTGTATTTCTCATTCATATTCCATGTTGTATAATTTCTGAGATTTTTGTTAACAATGTTCCAGCTGTCCAGAATCCACCCCCTCCCCACCCTTGGTCTTCACATATGGACAACTGGCTAGGCATCAAAGCTCATATTCCACTTTCCTTATAAAGTCTTCTCTAGCCGACCCACTGCACCCCATGCAAGCATTTATTCCTCAGACCACTTTATAATGGCAGGTTTTCTATGGCACTCATAATATAATATCACGGTTCTTCTACTTCTTATGATCAAACATCAAATTTAATTCTTATTTTTATTACCAGAAACATTCACTGTAGTGACTTCACATGGCCAGTGTTCAAGAAATATTTGCTAAAATGCTGAATGAGGGATAAATGACTACCATATTACCATACTAACTTTCCTAGTTGAAAATATGAACAAACTATCCAAACAAAGATCAACATTTGGTAAAATATCTATCCTGATTTATAATAAATGGTTCTCATGCTGCCATATCTAGCTGGTAGGAAACAAGAAGATATTTTAAGTCCCACAGGTCTTTGGCGAATTTCAGAGAGAGTTTCTTCAGGGCATCAAATCTCATCTTGCAGCACTGAGCTCTCCTTTTGGATTTCTCTTTATGATTTCTAAATGGTGTTTAAATGACAGGGTTGTGGTTGGTATCTACAGTTTCAACAAGCCAGTGAGTAAATCCAGTCTTCAGTTAAATTATAACTAGGATTAAAATAGTTTTATGTTGGAAGAACAAACTACATTGTAATCTGTTGCTCTAGTCTATGAAATTTATCAAAGTATACATACTACAGATTAGAACCTTCCCAAACCTTTGCTAAAACAAAGCTTAGTGTCAACCTATGTTTTCTTGAACCAAAAGCCATTTCAAATGTTTCAATTAAATGCTTAGATTAGATAGCAGCCATCTAGCCCAGTTATTTCCATATGGCAGGCTTAAGGATTTAGTCCAAAATCCTTCTGAGTAGAATAGAAACAAGGGCAAAAGCTTTTCATTTAATTTAAAAGCAATAAAAGTGAATTACATTCCATACAGATTTCTAGTCCTCCCCCACTTTTTAAAATATTAGCACTACCATTTTCTGTTCAGGAGGCTGATAGAGGAAATGAGGTTAGAAGAGAAAAAGATATTTTAAGAAACATATATGAGGAAGGAAAGGTGAAAAAGAGAGATGGATGACTGAGCTTGCATATGAGCATGAGAAGAAAAGTGAGACAGGAAGAAAAAACAAGGGTAGTTTAAAAGTATAAAAAATGCATAGAAACAAAAAGAGGCAAAAAATTCCAGAGTAGTTCAGAAATAAAGAATATAATGGATGGGGGGATCACAGTTTCTTCAGCCATTCTACCCTGCTCAGGCTCAAAGAATAGCAAAATCAAGTTTGGTGCCAATGTCCCTTAATTCTGTTCAAGGCAATTCAGTACTACACAAGGCTCTATCATGATTCGGGGTCCCAATCTAGACCCCTAGAGGAAAGCAAAGGTGTGAAAATTCAATCACAGTTTCAAAGAGCTTGAAACCTAGAAGGAGCTAACAGATCCACATAAAACAGAATGTGGTAACTCCTAGAATCAAAGTTTCCATTAAGGAAGGATCGTTCAACAGGCTTCACACAGGAGGTGGCACATAGATCACAGTCAAAAATCAGGTGAGCAGCATTTCAGGAAGGTCAAGGGAAAGAAAGCAGGCTAGGGAACAGGAACTCAGCCAGCACACAACTCAGTGCTACAGGAAGTCAACTAGGTAAGTAAGGTCAGAGCAAGAGGGAGAGTCAAGTCTTGGGAGTTAGCAAATACTATTCCTAAATGCTGGAATTTTATACACATCTGCCATGGAGTTGGAGTAAGACATAAATAATGCTGTTGTTATTTTAGAATAATTAACTAGTAGATGAAAGCATGAACAGGGGACCAATACTGGGAAATGGCATGAGGATGCTAAAGGCAGTTTCACAGTAAGGAGCCTAGTGAAGGCTGGGTGCAGTGGCTCACACCTAGTACTCTAGCACTTTGGGAGGCCAGGCAGGAGCATCACTTGTGGCCAGCAGTTCAAGACCAGCATTGGCAACTTAGCAAGTAAGCGAGGCATGGTTGCACATGCCTATAGTCTCCACTACTGAGGAGGTTAAGGCAGGAGGATCAATTGAGCCCAGGAGCTGGAGGATGCAGTGAGTTATGATCATGCCGTTGCACTTCAGCCTGGCTCTCTGAAAAAAATGAGAGAGAGAGAGAGAGAGAGAGAGAGAGAGATTGATTTCTGGGAAGATGGCCAAACAGGAACAGCTCTGGCATGCAGCATCCAGTGAGAACAATGCAGAAGGTGAGTGATCTCCATATTTCCAATTGAGGTACCTGGTTCATCTCATTGGGACTGGTTGGGCAGTGGCTGCAGCCCAAGGAGGGTGAGCCAAAGCAGACTGGGGTCACCTCACCCAGGAAGTGCAAGGGGCTGGGGAACTCCCTGCCTAGTCAAGGGAAGCCATTATCGATTTTCCCAGCACTCTGGCTCAAATACTGTGCTTTTCCCACAGTCTTCACAACCCGCAGAACAGGAGATTCCCTCCAGTGCTACAACATGAGCACTCTGGGTTTCTAGTATAAAACTGGGTGGCCATTTGGGAAGACACCAAGCTAGGTGTCTAAGGGGATCTGGAGAGAAAGGTTGGGTCACCCACAAACGAAAGCCCATCAGACTCATAGCAGATCTCTTGGCAGAAACCCTACAAGCCAGAAGAGAGTGGGGGCCAATATTCAACATCCTTAAAGCAAAGGATTTTCAACCCAGAATTTCATATCCCACTAAACTAAGCTTCATAAGCAAAGGAGAAATAAAATCCTTTACAGAGAAGCAACTACTGAGAGATTTTTGTCACCACCATGCCTGCCTTACAAGAGCTCCTGAAGGAAGCACTAAACATGGAAAGGAACAACCAGTACCAGCCACTGCAAAAAACATATCAAATTGTAAAGACCATTGACACTATGAAGAAACTGCTTCATTGAGTAGGCAAAATAGCCAACTGGCATCATAACAAGATCAAATTCACACATTAACATTATTAAACTTAAATGTAAATGGGCTAAATGCCCCAATCAAAAGACACAGACTGGCAAATTGGATACAGAGTCAAGACCCATTGGTGTGTTATATTCAGGAAACCCATCTCACATGCAAAGACACACATAGGCTCAAAATAAAGGGATGGAGGAAGATTCACCAAGCAAATGGAAAGAAAAAAAAAGGGGGTTGCAATCCTTTTTTTAAAGTCTGACAAAACAGACTTTAAACCAACAAAGATAAAAAGAGACAAAGAATGGCATTACACAATGGTAAAGGAATCAATGAAACAAGAAGAGCTAATTATCCTAAATATATATGCATGCAATATAGGGGCACCCATATATAAAGCAAGTTCTTAATGACCTACAAAATAATAGATCAATGAGACAGAAAATTAACAAAGATATTCAGGACTTGAACTCAGCTCTGGACCAAGCAGACCTAATAGACATCTACAGAACTCTCCACCCCAAATCCACAGAATATACATTCTTCTCAGCACCACATCACACTTATTCTAAAACTGACCACATCATTAGAAGTAAAACACTCCTCAGCAAATGCAAAAGAATGGAACTCATAACAAACAGTCTCTCAGACCACAATGCAATCAAATTAGAACTCAGGATTATGAAACTCACTAAAAACTAAACAACTACATGGAAACTGAACAATTTGATCCTGAATGACAGCTGGATAAATAATAAAGACAGAAATAATGATGTTCTTTGAAACCAATGAGAACAGACATAACATACCAGAATTTCTGGAACACATTTAAAGCAGTGTGTAGAGGGAAATTTATAGCCCTATATGCCCACAAGAGAAATGAGGAAAGATCTAAAATTGACACCCTAACATCGTGATTAAAAGAGCCAGAGGAGCAAGATCAAACAAACCCAAAAGCTAGTAGAAGACAAGAAATAACTAAGATCAGAGAAGAACTGAAGGAGATAGAGATACAAAAAAACCCTTCAAAAAAAAAAATCAATGAACCCAGGAGCTGATGTTTTGAAAAGATCAACAAAATACATAGACTGCTAGCTACACTAATAAAGAAGAAAAAAGAGAGGAAGCAAATAGTTGCAATAAAAAAAGGATAAAGGGGATATCACCACAGATCCCACAGAAATACAAACTACCATCATAGAATACTATAAACACCTCTATGCAAAAAGAAAAACCCCAACAAATCTAGAAAAAAGTTGATAAATTCCTAGACACTTAAACTCTCCCAAGACTAAACCAGAAAGAAGTTGAATCCCTGAATAGACCAGTAACAAGGTTTGAAATTGAAGCAGCAATTAATAGCTGACCAACCAAAAAAGGCCAGGGCCAGACAAGTTCACAGCCGAATTCTACCAGAGGTACAATGAGGAGGTGATGCAATTCCTTCTGAAACTATCCCAGAAATAGAAAAAGAGAGAATCCTCCCTAACCTATTTTATGAGACTAACATCATCCTGATACCAAAACCTGGCAGATACACAATTAAAAAAGAAAATGTCAGGCCAATATCCCTGATGAACATTGATGAGCAAAAATCCTCAATGAAATACCGGCAAACCAAATCCAGTAGCACATCAAAACACTTATCCATCATGATCAAGTCAGCTTCATCCCTGGGATGCAATGTTGGTTCAATATATGCAAATCTATAAATGTAATCCATCACATAAACAGAACCAAAGAAAAAAAACCACATGATTATTTCTATAGATGCAGAGAAGGCCTTTGACAAAATTCAACACCACTTTATTCTAAAAACTCTCAATAAACTAGATATTGATGATAATAAGACCTATTTATGATAAACCCACAGCCAATATCATACTGAATGGGCAAAAACTGGAAGCATTCCCTTTAAAAACTGGCACTAGACAAGGATGCCCTCTCTCATCATTCCTATTCAACATAGTATTGGAAGTTCTAGCCAGAGCAATCAGGCAACTTAAAGATATAAAGGGTATTCAATTAGAAAAGGAGGAAGTCAAATTGTCTTTATCTGCAGATGACATGATTGTATATTTAGAAGACCCCATCGTTTCAGTCCCAAATCTCCTTAAGCTGATAAGCAACTTCAGCAAAGTCGCAAGATACAAAATCAATGTGCAGAAATCACAAGCATTCCTATACACCAATAACAGAGTGCCAAATCATGAGTGAACTGCCATTCACAATTACTACAAAGAGAATAAAATATCTAGGAACACATCTAACAAAGGATGTGAAGGACCTTTTCAAGGAGAACTACAAACCACTGCTCAAAGAAATAAGAGAGGGCACAAACAGATGGAAAAACATTCCATGCTTATGGTTAGGAAGAATCAATGTTATGAAAATATACGTACTGCCCAAAGTAATTTACAGATCCAATGCTATCACCATCAAGCTACCATTGACTTTCTTCACAGAACTGGGAAAAAACACATTAAACTTCATATGGAACCAAAAGAGAGCTGGCATAGCCAAGGCAATCCTAAGCAAAAAGAACAAAACTGGAGGCATCATGCTACCTGACTTCAAACTATACTGCAAGGCTACAGTAATCAAAACAGCATGGTACTGGTACCAAAACAGACATATAGACCAATGGAACAGAAAAGAGGCCATGGAAGTAATGCCATACATCTGCAACCATCTGATCTTTGACAAACCTGACAAAAGCAGTGGAGAAAGGATTCCCTATTTAATAAATAGTGTTGGGAAAACTGGCTAACCATGTGCAGAAGCTGAAACTGGACCACTTCCTTATACCTCAGAAAAAAATTAACTCCAGATGGATTAAAGATTTAAACATAAGACCTAACACCATAAAAACCCTAGAAGAAAACCTAGGGAATACCATTCAGGACATAGACATAGGCAAGAACTTCATGACTAAAACACCAAAAGCAATGGCAACAAAAGCCAAACTGGACAAACTGGATCTAGTTAAGCTAAAGAGCTTCTGCACAGAAAAAAAAACTATCATTAGAGTGAGCTGGCAACCAACAGAATGGGAAAAAATTTTACAAGCTACCCATTACAAAGGGTTAGTATCCAGAATCTACAAAGAACTTAAACAAATTTACAAGAAAAAAAACAAGCAACCCCCATCAAAAAGTGGGTGAAAGATATAAACAGATACTTCTCAAAAGAAGACATATATGAGGTAACAAACATATAAAAAGATGCTCTTCATCACTGGTCATTAGAGAAATGCAAATCAACCTACATTGAGATACCATCTCACTCCAGTTAGAATGGTGTTCATTAAAAAATCAGGAGACAACAGATGCTGGACAGGATGTGGAGAAATACAAATGCTTTTACACTGTTGGTGGGAGTGTAAATTAGTTCAACCGCTGTGGAAGAGGGTGTGGCAATTCCTTGAGGTTCTAGATCTAGAAATACCATTTGACCCAGCAATCCCATTACTGGGTATATATCCAAAGGATTATCAATTATTCTACTATAAAGACATATGCACACATATGTTCATTGCGGCACTGTTTACAATAGCAAAGACTTTGAAACCAATTCAAATGCCCATCGATTATAGACTGGATAAAGAAAATATGGCACATATATACCATGGAATACTATGTAGCTATATAAAAGGATGAGTTCATGTCCTTTGCAGGGACATGGATGAAGCTGGAAATCATCATTCTCAGCAAACTGATACAAGAACAAAAAACCAGACACCACAAGTTCTTACTTAAAAGTGAGTGTTGAACAATGAGAACACATGGACACAGGGAGGGGAACATCACACACCGGGGCCTGTTGGAGGGGGGGGGACAATTGTTGGGATATCAGGGGAAGGGGGGATGGGGAGTAGCATTTGGAGAAATACTTAATGTGATGATGGGGTGATGGGTGTAGCAAATCACCATGGCATATGTATACCTATGAAACAAACCTGCACATTCTGCACACATACCCCAGAATTTAAAGTATAACAAAAATAGAAGAAAAAAGAAAAAAGGAGCCTTGTGCAACTGTAAAATCTAGAGTGAGTGAATCCACAAGCTCTGTATCTTCAAACTGTAATGCCAGTTGGTCCACAGTGTTCACTATATGCAAAAACAACCCAAACAAAATAAACAAAATACCTTTTTTTTGTCAATGCTGCAAAGCTACATGCCCACCATCCTAC